AGAGAGCTGCATCCTTTCTAGCAACTTCTCTGGGGAGAGCTGTGTTTTTTCTAGAAACTTCTCTGGCAGGGCTGCGCCCTTCTGTTATAGAGAGAACAGCGTGAACCCGAGTGCGCCTCCGTTTTGCCCTGATGGCCTTCGCCTGGCGGGTCTCTGCTGAAGTTGCCCGTGGTGCCGTTCACGGCCTGCCTCTGACTTGCCGTCCCTCCCAAGGTCGTCCTACCACTGCCGCTTCTTCGTCCTGCCCTGCTGCTTCTTCGGCTTTGTGGGGAAGTACCCCCGTCGGCAGAGCCAGAAGACGCAGTACCGCGAGTACCTGGATTTCATCAGGGAGGTGGGGCTGGCCTGCGGCTTCCACGTGGAGGAGGACTGCCTTCGGATCCCTTCAACCAAAAGGGTACGTCTTGCCGCTGCTGCCGGCCTCGGGGCTGTGTCGCACGGTCACAGGTGACACCGTGCCACCTCTGCTGATCCTGCGTTTGCGGGAAAGTGCTCTGCTGCGTTTGGCTCGGGCTTGGGGGCCTGCTGGGGTCAGTCTTCCCTGGGACCCCAGCTCTTCCTCCCCACCTTGCCGGCTCTGAGACCCACGGGGGTTCCTGAGGTCAGTCTTCCTGGAGACCCCAGCTCTTTCTCCCCGCCTTGCTGGCCAGGTAGAACTCTCCAACCTGAGGGTGGCCTCAGTGGTCACACCCTGCTGCTTGTGTGGATTCCTGAGTGAGTGGCAGACAGCAGGGCTTGTGCAGAATAAAGTCACGTCTCCACCAGGTCAGTCCACAGCTGCAGTGTCTCTGGGGGTGGCTGGAATGGCTCCTTACACTATGAAAGCAGAGTTGCCGCAGTGCTGGCCAGGGGCTGGGGAGACCCTGTAGGATCCGGCCCTTGCTCACAAAAGGGCCACATGGGCCATTCCCGTTCCTTGAGTTTTCCAACATCTCTTGCAAGATTCTGGCAGTGTGCCCTTGGGAAAATGAACCCGCCCCGTCCAAGCTGCAGAGCGTGGTTGCTGGAGTTGGAAGGACCAACATCAGGTTCCCTCCTAGCCCTTGGCTCTGCCACCCCCCAGCAGTGCTGTCTCAGGCCAGTCGCACAGCTCCCCCAGCCTACGACCCCGTCTGTAGACAAGACAGCAGTGCTTGCCTATGGCTGGGTGGAGGACGAGACAGGCATGTGTTTAAGCCCTGCTGTGGTACGTGGCCCTCCCTGGGAGCTCACTGGTGGTGGACGGCCCGGGGCCCTGCGCAGGTGCCACGCACAGTGTTGGTGTCGATGCTGTTGCCAGCTCATCTCGGAGCTCACATTCAGTCTCGTTTGCAGAATCTCCCACTGTCTGGGCTGGGCCGCCACGGTCCCGTGAGGTGGGTCAGAGTCTCCCGCTGTCTGAGGGCTGGGCCGCCACGGTCCTGTGAGGTGGGTCAGAGTCTCCCACTGTCTGAGTGCCCCCTGCTGGCCACCACAGTCCCATGAGGTGGTTCAAAGTCTCCTGCTGTCTGAGGGCTGGGCCACCATAGTTCTGTGAGGTGGGTCAGAGTCTCCCGCTGTCTGAGGGCTGGGCCACCACGGTCCTGTGAGGTGCGTCAGAGCCTCCACACTGTCTGAGGGCCCCCTGC